GACAGGCATAAAATCAGATTAATAACATGCTTGCCAGTGTGTGAAATTGATGGACTAATTTCTACCTATTTATCCTCCACACATATAAAAGCAGAAATTTAGGGAGAGAAAATGAAGAAATTTTATAATCACAGATTCACAGAATGGTTTGGGAAGGGACCTTAAGGATCATTCAGTTCTAAACCCCCTGCCATGGGCACAGACCAGGCTCCTCAGAGCCCCATCCAACCTGGCCTTGAACACTTCCAGAGATGGGGCAATCTGTGCCAGTGCCTCACCACCCTCACAGTAAAGAATTTTCTTCTAATATCTAATCTAAACCTCCTTTCAGTTTGAATATTCTGCAGTCTATTTTGCCCTGTGCTCCAGACAGATAATTAGCAGCTAACCTGACACAGACATGAAAGTGACTCAGAAATGAGAGGCTACTTTTCACATTCAGATCATAGTCTCGGTTGCACGTTCTGACACTTAAAATAGCTCCCCCTGACGTGCAGCAAACTACAGAATGTCAGCGCACAAAGCTCCTCTTGTCATTGCCATTCTTGTTTACGACCCAGCAGCAGCTCAGGGTGCAATTTCATCCTGGAGCAGTCTGAGGAGGGATGGCTCCTGCAAGGAGCAGCCAGCGACAGTGTTATGTTTGCTCAATTATCTCATCATAAAAAGGCTAAACAATATTAAAAGTAGTAAGAATTTTAATTAAATAGTTTAGAAAATATATAAACAAGGGATAATTTGATTTAAATAATAGCGCATAAGCAAAAACAACCGCGGGGTACGGAGGGCAGGGTTCAATGACTCTTGCCACTTCACGTACAAGCTTGCTAAGTGAAAGTTACTTGTTGCTTTCTGATGCAAGGCAAGGCGACTTGGCTCTGAGGAAACGGCACGGCGACTCAAACTCTCTAGGGTCACTCGGGCTAAGAACACATGCTAGCACTAGTATGGTGGACGGTCTAAGGCTTTTATTGTTCCGTCTTGTCAGGTTTTATACTCGGCAAGTTTTTTCTCTACGTCAGGGGGTTTTACTTTACTGTAATTGGTTAGTAAGGAGTAGAAAGTTACTAATGTTAGGGGGGACTACATTCTTGGGTGATCTTTTATCACTAGGCATTAGGGGGAGAGGAATTCTACTGCCTTCCGTGACATTGCGAGATTTTCCGAGCACCTGACCCTATCTACTACAGTTACTCTCTATATGCTATGTGCAAACGCTATCTCTTCTTATTTTCGGTTTGTTACTTTTTTGTCTCTGCTTTCATTACCACCTTTATCACGCATGCGCCACCACTCGGTTTGGTGGTCCCACAAGTCTTTGGGGGTCGTCACTGATGAAGGCCCTGTAGTCTTCTTCGTTGTCTTTTAATTCACCTTTGGGTTACGCATGCGCACCAAGCCAGTACAATGTAAGCCAAGACTAACGTATCACTGCATCTACATATCAAAGCAATAAGTCTCTTATAATTAGTGGGTGGAGCCTTTCCTTTCTCTCTCGTCTTTGGCATTACAACTTTTAACTATTAACTGTTTTATTATTCTCAAATATTAATTACTGTATCAATATTGATTACTGTTTCAATTTTTATCAGCACGAATCATACCTATTTATCACACAGGATGGAAGGGACAGGGCACGGAAATGCTGCCTGGGAGCTCTCAAAGCTCTTCCTGAAACATTTAGTGAAGATTCAATCACATCAAACACAATTTGTTATTTGTCCTGGCCTCCATGACTCGACTAAAAGGTGTGTAACTCAGCCTCCAAATTGCTGTAAACTAAATCAAAATATTAAAAACTTCAAAAACAGCTTTCCCTAGGAGTGCTTCATCTTTCATTCCCCTGAAATGTTTGTTTTGTAATGCAAAATACAAAGCAACGTTTGCTTTGTAATGTTGCAAATAAACTCTCTGATGGGACAAGTCTGAAAGGCTTGATGGCCATCAGATTTAAACACCTACAGTAATCTCATCTCCAGAAATATTTGTCATTTTTTGGTAAGAGATGCATCAAATTTGAAGAATTGTAGACCAAATATGTACACTTGTACTATTTCTACACATTGATTTTATTGTTTTATTGGCAATGCTGAGATATACTTATCAAATGGAGTAATATTCACTCATCTGCTTTACTAGATGAGACACATTAACTGGCCTAATTCACATTAAAAAGTTATCAACATACAACTTTTAATTTTGCTAGTGTAATAAACATGTCAAACCCTAATTGTGGTCATATTTCTATGACTATAATGGTGCTTTTTACAGGCACGGTGTATTTTGGATGGGAAGAAAAACCACACATCCCTGTAAGGTGGCATTCTATCAACAGAATAGTGTTTACACTAAGGTTTCTTTAAGAAAATGAGACATGAGGAGGAAAAGTTGTACATTTAATCTGAAAAATGCAGAATATAAAAAATTGCAGAATATAAAAAAATATAAAAATGCTGAGCCTAAAAAATTCCCAGTGAGAAAGTTATGATTCAGGGAATGCAGGTATCTTCCTCCCACTGAAGGGATCCAAAGAAATGTCATTCAGCCATCACTGATTCTGGCCAAGATACTGGGAAAATGACTCAGGAAAGATAACAGCAATTTCAGCTGAGTTTTACCTTAAGAGATTTCAAGCTCATGAATAGCATGTGGGAGATTTTCAGTTTACTCCAGTCCACAAGCAACTGAAGGTAGGCTATGTCTTACATAGCTAAAAAAAAATTTAAAAATCCAGCTCCATGAACAAGAGCACTGTATTTTTATATCTTTACTCCCCAAAAGGATTTATGAGAATTGAGATGGCCATATTTTTACTGGAATTCCAGGAACTCTGGCCCTTAACCTCAACAGCTGAAGGACTGTACTCAGTTATGTCTTGGTACAGAGTAAACAAATTCCCTTTGGTTATGGCAGAGTGTGGCAGTGATCAGAAATCACTGTAACTCTGCTGCTTTTCCTTCCATGGCTCTTAAGTGACATTAAAAGGGGCTTTGTGAGGCATTTTTGCTGTCCCAAGTACTCTGTTTTCTAGAAGGGCTCTGGAGATACTCACAAATGTGTCCAGAGCAGGCTGTGAGGGGTGCAGGGGACACTCACTGTACCCTGTGCCAGAACTGTCCCTGCAGTAACCACACCCTGTCAGAGGCTGATGAGAATGAATTGCAACCTCAATGTTACACTCTTCAGTACTGAGGTACGATAAACCTTGGATAAGGAGATTAATGCTGCCAGACAAAAAAGGGAAAAATGTTTCTTCCTTCCCCAAAGAATGCAATTTAGTTGTATACAAATTACTATCAAAGGAAAAGTTTTGTAGCATTTAAAAAAATATGTATTTGGACAAAGGATTTTTCATGTCTTCTTATCACAGAGTGCATGGAGAGAATTTGCACAAGGAGGATGTGGTGTTTCACTGCACCTCAGAGGGAAAACCCCTCAACAATCAAATATATTTTAAAACTTATATTTGTGATGGACAGCAAGACTGATGAACTGATGGGGGTGGAAGGAGTTTAGGAAGGTTGAAGACCTGCCCAACACTTTCTTTCCTTGTTCACAAAACATGCCTGAACTGTTCCAGAACAGCAAAAAGCAGTCAATAAGAAAAGACAACAAATTTCTTTTTATTTCACTGCTGATTGAAAGAAAATATAAGAGAACTGATGTCTTTAATATTATGAGGAAAAAAATGGAAACACTACAGTACAAAGACTAACATTACACTACAACAAATATTTGGGAAGGAAACCCCCTCTGCACAGAATAGCCATTTTAAAGCAGGGCATGTTGCAGTCTCTCCATGACTTTGCTGCTTCTGAAGACTTTTGTTGCTTTCTGAGGATCTCAGATCATTACACCAGACAGATTTCAAAATGAAGGCGCTCAGTTGCTCAAAAGTTTAATGAGAGCAGAAATTGTTGCAACTGCAGCATGTGACTCAGAGCACAGCCCCTCCCAGAGCAGAGCAAACCTTGTGCTGATTACAGCTCAGCTTCCTCTCCCCTCCGAGTCCACACTTGGTCACACACTGCAGTTATCACCCTTTTGCAGATAAAGCAAATTTCAAAACCCTGAAAGCTCCAGAGGGTTGGTTTTCAACAGAAACTGCTTCACATCCTGAAGCTCCAAACAAAACAGCTTCAATACACCAGGAAAGCTCAATGCTTTCTGCCAAGTCCTTTTAAATCCAAAGCTTGGTCTGCCCTGAACTAATACTGAGGAAAGTGTGATCAGCCAGATGATCAGAGCACTTAGAGAAGTGCAAATATTCTCCAGCATCACACACAAAACCCCCATGAGCTCAGAAAAGTTCATTTGTCAGAAATATCCAGCTTGTACTGATCCAGGGGGCTCTCAGTGTGAGATGGATGTGGCACAGAATCACCCTGGCACTTGGAACCTAAACATGGGAACAGCAGGCACAAAAGTTCACGTTTATCACTGAATGTACAGCACAAAAAGGATCTTGGGAACTTCCTAAAAGCTGCTGCCTGCTTTGTATTCACTAAGAATGCTAAAGGATAAGGTACCTTGAACATTGAAGCAGAACCGGGGAGCTCACAAGTGGTGAAATCCCCAAGGAATCCCGGTCTGGCTCTGCAGCTGAAAACTCCCGAGGTTCTCATTTGTGACACCTCCCTGCAAGCCCCTGCTGAGAACATGTAAATGACAGCTCCTGAAATGGTCACAATCCAGCCAGGATGGGTGGATTTTCCACAGGTACACAAAATGTTCTTAAGAAATTACAACTCTGCAGCATATGGGTGAGACACACATGTGAGAGAATGGGATGTCAGATCCCGTCCACCCAAGAGATGGCCACATAATCTGGGGTTTTTTGCTAACAGGGTTTATAAAAACAGTTGCTTAAATTTGCTCCAAACTTCCCCTCAAGAGGATCAGCATAATGCTGGTGGAAAATTTTAGTCAGAGCACTTTGTCAGCTTGAGCAAAGTCAGAACAGAACACTAAACCTACACATAACACAGTACTAGATTTACCTGCAGTGTGCATTGACTACTCCTGATTTAATATCAAAAAGACTTCCTGTACAAAAATACATCTTTAAAAAAAATCTAGTTTCACATTAATTTATCTAAGGATAAAGTATTAATTTTAATTAACCTACAAGATAGTCAGTGTATTCACAAAAAGCTCTGTGATTGTGTAATTCATCACAATCTCTTCTGTAGGTATGTACAGCCTACCTACCTCTTACTTCCACTGGGAGTCCCAACTACAAAAAAAAGGAAGAGCTACTAAAGCAATTGCTATTTAATTATTAAGATGGGCTTACTCAGTACACACACATCCCACAATTATTTCCTGTCTAATAGTAACTCCTTGAAGTTTTTCTTCTGTTTATTTACACGAGCTTCATCCAATCTGAACATAAGGTCAGCAGAGGATTACAGCAAAATTCTTTCTGACAGCTGTGAGCAGGTAAAACACCTTCCACAACTTTCTGCACAGCCCACCACTGAGGATTTCCCCACCTGACTGTGAAATATGCTTCATCCTGCAGATGAATAATCCAGCTCGGAGTAGCAAAGCCACGCTTTGTTTACAGAACCACAGAATGGTGAGGCTGGAAGGGGCCACAGTGGGTCACCAGGTCCAACCTCCCTGCTCCAGTAGGATCCCAGAGCACACAGCACAGGATTGTGTCCAGATGGCTCTGGAATATCTCCAGTGAGACTCCACAGCCTCTCTGGACAATCTCTGCAGGGCTCGGTCACTGCACAGCAAAGTTCTTATGTTGAGGCGGAATGTCTGCGCATCGGGTCCCAGCATTGCCGGACCCCATCCTCGGACACCTCCCCTTTCTAGACTGACAGACATTGACGAGGTTCGGTACCTGCCTGCACTGACACGCGGGGACCTCGCTGGGGGAGATGAAACGCGTCTCCCTTCCAGACACCCCGGGGAGGAGCCGCGGCACCCCCGAGTCACGGCCCTCCCGGCGCCTCTCTCGTTCTAGAGCTCGGATGGCAGCGGGGGCACAGCCCGGAGCCGCCGCCGGCAGAGGAGGGGGAAGCACCGGCCCGCCGGTCCCTCACACCGCTCGGGCGGCCGCTCCTTGTCACCACCGGTGCCTGCTATCCCTCACACCACCGGTCCCTCACGCCCTGCGGCGGCCGGACCCTCGCGGCCCTCACGCCCCGCTGCAGCGGGTAACGGGCTCCCGAGGCGCCGCAGCCCCAAGAAGCCGGAGAGCGGCGCGCCTCTTCCCGCTCCCCCTTCTCCGCTTCCGACCCGCCTCTCCCCGCCTTCCTTCCTTCCATCCATCCTTCCTTCCTTCCATCGCTGCCGGCCGCGCTCATGCGCTCTGAGCGCTTCCCCCGCGCCTCCCCCTCGGGGCTCGGGCCCGGGCGGGGCGGGCGATGTGGCGGCGGCGGCCGCGGGCACCTCCCGCCCGCTCCGGGCGCCTGCGCCGCGCCCCGCCAAGGACGGGGGAAGAGTTTCGTAACCGGCGCATGCGCGCGGCAGCCGCATCCCCGCTCGGTGGAGGAAGGGGGGGGGAAGGAGGAAAGAGGAAAAAAAAAAAAAAAAAAGGAAAAAAAAAAAAAAAACCACCTCAGAGTTACGTCAGGAAAAGACGGATTTGTGCGCGGGGAGACCCGCGCGGCGCGGGCAGCCCCCGGGACGGGCGCGACACGCGGGCGCTACTCACCCTGTCCGCCGCCCCCCCCTGCTCGCCCCCCTCGGCGCCGCCGCTCAGGGCTCAGCCCGCGCTGCCGCCGCCGCCGCCGTGATTCCATCCATCTTGAATTTGACGTCATCCCACAACCGAGGGATGAGGTCATCGCGGGGAGCGCTCGTCACGTGCGCGGCGCCGCGATTGGCCGGGCCGGGGGGGAGCGGGGGGCGAGGGGGCGGCGCGGCGGGGGGGGAGGGAGACGGCGGGGGGGACGGGGAAACGGGGGAACCGGAGCGGGGATCCCCCGGCCGACCGACTGACAGACCGACCGACAGCCCGCCCGGCCGGCCGCCTTCCAGCGCGGGCAGCACCGCCCGCAGCGCCACGGCCGCCGCCCTCAGCCCGCCCCGCCGCAGGGAAACTGAGGCAGCAGCCGCCGCCGCGCGGGTGGGGGTGGCCCGGCACGGGGGGGACACACGGAGGGGACACACACACACACGGAGAGGACACACCCACGGGGGACACACAAGGAGGGGACACACACACACGGAGGGACGGGTCCGTGTGGCGGGGGACAGAGGGGTTCGGGAGGTGCCGCTTTGGTAACCCGCACCCACCACCCCCCGCCCCCCCCGGCCTGTGTGCTGTGGGTGTGAGGGGAACCCGCGTGCCGCGTTAGTGCGTGATTCACCGACATTTGTACTTGTTTCGTCGTGAGGTTTTATTGTGGTGATTATTGTTATTATTATTGGAGTTTTTTGGGTGTAGGGGTAAGGCCCAGTGTGGTCTGTGAAGAAGCACTGTGCCTTGTGCCACGCACTGTGTCCCTCACAAGCAACCCCCCAACCCCTGACATTTCTGTCCCCCCTCAAAAGCCTCCACTGTGTCCATCAAAAGTCACTGACTCCCCCAAGCCACCCAATATCCCATTCACTACCCACTGAACCCCTCAAAAACCACCCTGTGTCCCTCAAAAGCCATCCACTGTCCCCCTCAAAAGCCACTGCTGTCCCCCTCAAAAGCCACCCACTGTCCCCCTCAAAAACCACTCTCTCCAACCCCTCAAAAGCCACTCCTGTCCCCCTCAAAAGCCACCCTCCAACCCCTCAAAGGCCACCACCATCCCACTCACAAGCCACCCACTGTCCCTCAAAGGCCACCACCCTCTGTTGCCACCAGGGACACACATGCCCAGATCCCGGTGGGTTTTGGCTCAGCCCCTTTGTAGCTGCTGATTTGAAAAAAAATTATAATGGCCATTATCATTGCTTTAGGCTGGCTTCTCATCGTGATTATCCGCTTTGAATTAAATACCTGAATAGGGCTTAATGTGTCAAAATGCAAGTACTAAAATAGAAATTAAGAACTACAAGATTCCTCTTGTTTTTGTCAAAAGCTAATCTGGCGTGTTATCTTTTCATTAAGGACAGCTCTAGAGATTAGCATCTAATCCCATACATGTTTTCAGTGTGCTTTCAGATATCCCACCTAAGTCACAAATACTCTGAAGCAGCTGTAGAATCCCTAGAATGTTTTTAGGGATGCGTTTAAGCCTTTTTTTTTTTTTTGCCAAGGTTTTGTTGCAAATGGGCTAAAACCCACGTAAGGGAAGGAGATGTACCTTACTGGGTCTGGCTCCTTTTTTCCCTCTCCAGATCTTGGGGGTTTGTTTTGTCATTGCTGGCTCTTTTGGTAGCTTTGGAAACTGGGGAAGCTGCTTGTGAAAGGAGTGGGGTTTTTTCTCACTCAGGGACTCGTGCCCTGATGCGAGTGTGGCTTTGTGAGCCAGCACAAAACCCCAGCAAAGCTCTTTGGAAGAGTTCCCTGCTCTGCTGTGCTGTGCAGACAACTGTTCTGGCACGGGGGCTGCTGTGGTGATGGGAACAAACAACTGGGAAAGCACTTGCATCTGTTCCCATAAACCAGTCTGTGCAGTGAGGCTGGCTGTGCTGCCAGGGGAGCATTTGGGGAGCTAACCTGAGCTTTCTTCTTCTTTCTTTTTTTTCTTTTTTTTTTTTTTTTTTTTTTTCCCTCATGTGTGCTAAGTTACTTCTCAGCCAAGCAGAAACTAGTTGGTCTTGCATAATTTCTTAACTGTGCTTCTCCAAAAGGGCCTGTGGCACAGGTGGAGGATCTCTGTCCCAAATTACCCTGCTGAAAGGTGGTCTTACACTTGTGTGTGTGTTGCTGTGCAGGTATTTATTACCAATATTTTTTATTTGTCAGGTTCTCTAGTGAAAGTGCAGGCAGTGGAACACAGCCCATGCAGTGCCTTGTATAATTCTGTTGGAGAGAGTCCAGAAGAGGCCACGAAATTGATAAGAGGACAAGGGCACCTCCCCTACAGAGACAGGCTGGGAAAATTGGGTGTTCATCTGGAGAAGGTTGTGTGCAGACCTCAAAACACCTTTCAGAATCTGAAGAGACCTGCAAGGAAGCTGGAGAGGAGCTCCTCATCAGGGACTGGAGTGACAGGACAGGGGGGAATGGGTACAAACTGGAAAAGGGGAAATTTAGGTTAGATATTAAGAAATTTTTCACTTTGAGCATGGTGAGGCCCTGGCACAGGGTGCCCAGAGCAGCTGTGGCTGCCCCTGGATCCCTGGCAGTGCCCAAGGCCAGGCTGGACACTGGGGCTTGGAGCAGCCTGGGACAGTGGGAGGTGTCCCTGCCATGGCAGGGGGGTGGGACAAGATGATCTTCCAACCCTTAATGTTCTGTGATTCTATAATTTTGTCATTCTTACAAACACATGATTTTAGAAAATTTTGAATGCAATCCTCCAAGATTCTATGATTCAAAAATACATAATCTGATTGTAGTTCACGACTGAGTCTGATTGACTCGATGTTTTTTAAGTTTATGGTTGCCTTATATTCCTGTAAATCAGATTTTTCTTGATCCTAATAAAATCTAGGGAAGAAATTCATTCTCTAGAATGATAAGGGTTTTAAGTTGTCTCTAAGTAGGTTAATTTTGTCAAATGTACCATTCCCAATTATTTGAATGTATTCTGGTTCTTCAAGATCAGCTTGTTTATGAACGTATTTTCCAACATTTCTAATTTTAGATGCTTTGATGGGGGGCTTAGTTTGATATATTTTTCATCTTTATGTGTGGTTGCAGCTGTTATTACCAGGTGCATGTTTGTTAAGTATAAGGTTTGTTCTCCATTTGGAGTATCCAATAACTGCTCAGATTAACTTTGGATCATACTTGCCAACAAGCTTTATCACTGGAATTTTGTTAAAAACTGAGCCCCTGCAAAATGTAGAATATAAAGAAACTTCAAAGAAAATAAAGGATGATTATACATGGACATTGTGGTTAACTCCATGGACATTGTGAACAAATTAACATGTAAAAGCTAAAACTCTAAAACACTGGTTTAGAGTTTTAGCTTTTAAACTTTAGCTTTCAAACACTGGTTGAAAGTATGAGAATTACTGTTTTTCATTGTGCAAATATTGTACTGAAGGGCAAAATTGTGTACTCTGAATAGTTCAGTGTTTTTGACACTAACATTTTCAATATAAAAATAGTTGAAATGAAGTCATATCCTGGAGAGATTTGTCTTTTTTTTTTAGATCTGTAGTTTCAGCTCTTTTACATGTAGAGACCCTAGAATTTTCTTTAATGAAGATTGGACCTTGTGTGATTAATTTAAATCTAATCCCATCAGGTTCTTTTCCTGCAGAGAGCCCAGAAGCAGCTCAGATACCCCGAGGCACTCCTCTATCAGCAGCTGGGAAAGAGTTTTGCAGAGAGGAGTTTGGTTTTGAGGGAGGAGAGAGGATAAGGACAGAAGCAGCAGCTTCATTTCCATGGGGGAACCTTGACTAGATGGAGCTGCTAACATTTTTCATCTTGGTAAATTTTCTTTGAATTTTCTGTCCACGTGGAGAGATCTGTTCTGTACTTTGGTGGCTTTGGGAGTGTGTCTTGCTGAACAGCTTGGCAATGGGGCTTCTCCAGCTCCAACTCCTCCTGCAACCACTGTAAAAGTGGAAATGCAAAACCCCAGGCACCACAGGGGTTTGTCTCTTGTTTCTCACCAAATCCTCTGGAACTGATTATTGACAAGGACATATTGCAGAGGGAGGTGGTGAATCTCTGAGAAACTGCCTTCTGTCTCTGCCCCTGAAAATCTCACAGTGGGACAAATGCTGTGGCTGTTACCCCATTCCTTCAGACACCAGCTTCTATCCCAGAACTTCTGGGATGTGGAGCACAGTTACCTGGGATCACAGAACACACATGAATGAACCCATTCCTTTGGATGCAGATGTTCCTGGGAACTCTCTTTATTGATTC